TCTAAGTGACATCTTCGGAAGAGATATTGGTTGTAAGAGGGTACCTGGTCTTATAGACTCGGAAAGCCACGCCCAGTTCGTGACCTATCTGGAAAAAATGAAGGAGGAGTGGCTTTCCTTCCACCCACTCTCAGAGCGCTTTGTTACTTACTTTTGCGAGTATAAAGCGGAAATTATAAGGCAAACGATGACAGCTGAATTGAGATCCATGGCTGGTCTAGGCTGGCCTCCAGGTGTATACGATCAGAACGGAAATGAATGTATGAACTCGGTTCTACAAAGAGAGAAACAACTCACAAGGAAAAGGAAGCTGTCCATTCCCGAATTTTCCAGGTTGCTGCAGACGGTGGTGAAAAGACAGAGAACAGAAGAGGATTTAGCATTTATTGGGCTCGGAGAGCTAAAAATGGACAAAAACTACGAGGAAGAGGGAATGAAGGAGTCTGTCTTTTACAGGAAGACGAGAGCGCAACAGGAAGCGGCGCTCAAAAAATTTCACAATCTCCCAGTAAACACAGTTAACATAATTCCTATCGACCCGGTAAACACAAATGAAGCGGACACAATGTCGCCATTGAGTTTGCCTCTAGAAGATTATGGCATTATCCGGGTTCCCTTCAGTATTATAGCACGTATGTACCATCGTGCATCGTTGATTTTGGCGCGCAAAGAAGAAAATATCCATCCCGATCCTGGAAGAGGGGACAATTTGCCACGTTATGTGGCAAACGAGGCAATTGATGCTCCATCGTATGCAGTTTGCAAGAAACGTACCGTGCGACGTGGAACATATTATGTGTGCAGCGGCACTTGTATCGATTTTAAAGCGTATGACATTTGTGCCCATACTTTAGCTGTGGCTGAAATGGATCGTTCATTGACTGAGTTTGTTCATTGTTACAAGACAACGAACCAAAGGCCTCCTAACGTGGATGCCTTGATTCACATGGACCTCCCTCCTGGACGTGGGTCAAAAAAGACCAAGGCAACACAAAGAAGGAAAGGTGCTACAAATAAAAAAAGAGAGGAAGTTGTGGAGAGTTAAACTAACACCTCTCCAACTGACCATTCAGCATCAAATCCGGCGTCGACTTTAGTATGATCCTCAGGAAACAGAGGCACAGAGAAGGAAGCAGAGAAGACAACAACACAAAAAGACACAGAAGAGCCTCAGGTATGTATACACTCGATTGCAAAAACGTTGACACCTTGAAAGCATAAACTGTGAACGATGAGACCCAATGGCTTTATGGGTATAAGTGTACTAAATTTATTTGCATAATATTCTATTCTCGTGCCACGGTTGATAACCAAAATTAGTTGCACGTGGTCAGTGATGGAAACGGTTCAAGCTTTCCTAAAAGTGTCTAAGCTGGCCAACAAGGGCCAATTTGAGCGATATTCAATCCGATATTTGCCTAAGTTCATATCCGTCAATGAACTAAAGCAATATTTACTTGAAAATTATTCAGAAGAATTAAGTCCCGCTTCTAATTGCACGTCGCTAACTATCGGCTACATGAGTGACGGGCGCCGAAAATGTGACATCAAAACAGAAAAACAGTTGGACGACGCCTACAGAAGTGTTAAGAATGGATGGATCACCCTATGGGTGGATCCACACAGTTCCTTCAAACGAAAACAGGGCGAGATAGAAAGAAGGGAAGCCGGTAAAGCAAAGAGGAAGAGAAATTCAGGTATGAATGGAAAACCATATTGCCTGTCTTTCCCGCTTGTTACAAAATTACTCAATGTTTAATGGAAACAATGTCCTCCTTTTTTGTTTTTCATTCAGACGACACTATCGACTATTGTTACTGAGGTTTCACTCGAGTTTAAAGTTCATAGGTAGGAAACTGTCATGTCTTCGTGTTCTCCGAAAAAACGTAAATTTGATCATTTTTGACGTTGTTGATTGGCAAAGACTGGCGCGTGAAGAAGTATGAAAAAAGCACGAGCAGAGGCACTTTTCCCTGTCAATCCTATCATAGTTAATTGGCCTTTGTCACTTGGCGGCCATGTCGAGTCTCATGGGAATAAAAAGCTTTGTTTTTGCAAAGCAAACCTCTCTCTAAATTCGCGTCTGGCCGAGGCTTGTTGTGCAAAAACAAAGCTATTTATTCTTCTGAGTCAACAAATATCCCCACGTTAAAAGTTCTATAATAATCCTGCCGATAACTGCTTACCCGTTTTCTTGTAACGCTGTTTCTTTGAAAGTATCGGCAAACCGTCGACACTTGAAAACGGTTTCCGAATACAGTCATAATTTCTCTTACAATCTCAGTCAGTGTCTTCTCTGGGTGCTCTAGCATAGCTTCCATCATCACGAGCTCCTCGCGCGGGTGCATTCCAACCAGATCCAAAGGTCTTCCAGTTTTCTTGGCCACAACTTCACCCGTGCGCACAAATTTTTTTTTGAATCTCTTTACCGAGCTTGGTGACATTGCCAGCATACCGGATGTATCCTCAATGTTATAACCAAGGAACACATGAAGCCATACAGCTCTTAAACGTAAATCGTCCGAGTATGCTTTGGGCATACTTTTTTTTCCAGCAATGTATTTTTTATTGCAAAGAATAAGAATAGTAAATTATTGATTATCATGATGGAAATGAGGTTATTGTTTAAACACTACCCACAAATCCGTCGGGTCTCATCGTTCACGGTTTATGCTTTCAAGGTGTCAACGTTTTTGCAATCGAATGTATATTGTAAGGATCATTCACAGTTAATACAGGGTGTAATGCGTGATTCTGTTATCTCGGGTTTTAGATCGGTGAAAGGTTTCAAATTTTTTTGTGTGATTATGCTGCCAACTGTTTGATTTTTTATATCGACTATGATCATGGTAAAGTCCCGCTATATGTTAGCATATTAGCTCTGTGCAAGTCGTTCTATTTCACTAACTGGTGAGCTAATTGGGTTGAACGAAATAAAAACTCTATCATATAAAGCTTGTAGTGACAATGCGCGGCAAGTCGAAAAAAACAGTCCTCCTAATCACAGAACCTTTCATTTGTAGAAATGGCCCGCTGGATATAAGGTTTATAAAGATTTAGCATCAGGTGAGACTGTCAGCTCGTTGCATAATTCCCACGCAGCCACCGACTAATCTTAGCTGTTAACTAAAATGCCATTAATTTTATTCTATCTGCAGAATAAAAGCCCCAACACATCAACGCCGGCAGTTCAAGAAGGTAGTTTCCAGTTGACCCTTCTCAAAAGATGCAGCCCTCTGGTGAGAAGGTGTTACGGGTGTAAGGGTGTCTTGAAACTAAGGCGTGGTGAAGACTTTTTTATTCCTAACCCACCAGAAGACCTCGTCATAATATCAAGCACGAGACAGGCCTACTGGCAGAATGGAGAACAAAAGACTGGACGATTAGGAAACGTATACTTTCATTGTAAGGTTGAGTGCGTCCAAAAACTGCAGCCCCAATTTATTCCCTTCTTGGTGATCATTTCGGCGGCTGTTAAGCGTGGATTACTCGAAGTTCATCGAAATCATATACAGAAAGAGCTAGGTCTCTAGAGTACATATGGGGGAAAAAAATGCCACATTCAGGAAATGATAAATTCTCACCATTTAGTTATGTGACGGTCACTGTTTTGTTTGATGACATACAATCACAATAAAAAGTTTCCCTTTTTGTATGTGACAAAAAAAGCGAAGGAAAGCGCGACGTCTTCATAATGGTTTCACAACATGGGGTGTAATTAATCCAGCTGTCAATGAAATTCTCCTGACATATCCAAGCTCCAGACAATAAAATTTTCCGGGCAGAATCGGTCACATTTACGGACTTCTCCGTTTTGCCGACGGAAAATATCGGCAAGCAACAGTAGCCAACGTACTTCCACTTGGCAGGTTACGTAGGTTTTTACACAAGAAGTGATTGGCAGCGGCCCGAGCAAATTGGAAAACAAACATAAGGGAGTCGCGAGGAATGCCTGGTCGCTATTTCCGGTGTTGGTGATTCACTACTTTGTTTGTGAATACGTGAATTCTATATGCTGCTAAGTTAAGGGCTAAGGGAATTTATTTAATAACAGGGATGGCTCAATAAGAGTATCATGTTCGCGTCTCCCCGCTGTTAGATAGCTAGTTGTGTCTGCTAGGTTCGTGTTCGAGTTCGCTTTTCCATTTTTCAATTCCGCTTTATCTTTTCGTTACTCGCCTTTTTTCGCTTCTCTAACTATGGCTTTATCGTCCTGGACCACACGCAACAGTCAGCGCCATCTCAGCACGGATTACGAATGGGAGACATTGCCTTCCATCGATGAGAGTTTATTGTTCAAGGCCTCTCGAGAACTGCTAGACTCGTCACCGTCCCAACACGCCGAAAAACATCGCAAGGATTCGAAATCGCCGATCGATCCCGGCGCAGTCCCAAAACGAAGGCCTGCGGACGACCCTTCTCTTCCTCAAGCGACTCCACAAGTTCCGTTCACAGGACAGGACACAAAACAAACACCGCCCCCTGACCAGCAGCTTGCCGCGAGTATACCTCCGTCGCTAGTAGCTCTTCAGCTGCAAAAAGAATCCCAAGAGCTCGAGATCAAGAAGCTCAAGTTGCAGCTACAGCTTGCCAAGCTACAAGGCGGCCAAATCGCTTCACCTACTTCTACAGAGTCCAGTCCGGGGAATTCACTCGGCGACTTAAAGGCTCCTCAGAAGACCCTGCATCCGCAGCCTTTGCCACACATTTACGCCCCAGGTGAGCCTAAGTTGTATAATGATTTGTCCATGCCTGAATTTTGCGCGGGGTACTTGGTCATCATCCACCAAAGCGCCTCAAAACCACATTACGCCACTCTTCTTGACCATTTCCACCAACTTATCGTTTTCGCATCTGCGTACCAGTGGTCAGCGGTCCGCTCCTTTCATTACAAGGTGTTGCGTTCCCTCGAACTTGGTTTGGTTAAGTGGGGGGACTCCTTTGATCATCTCAAGGTCCAGTTTTTGACCCCCTCGTCCTTGCTGTCTGAGATCACTCCA